CGGGCTCTCCCCGCAGGAGGCCGATGGCACGCTGGACTGCATCAGCATGGCCCTGACCTGCACCTTCAATCGCTGGGGCACGCTGCTCGCCGTGGGCTGCAACGACGGGCGCATCGTCATCTGGGACTTCCTCACCAGGGGCATCGCCAAGATCATAAGCGCCCACATTCACCCCGTCTGCTCCTTATGGTGAGGAAGGGCTCGGCGGTTTGCCTTCCTCGGAACGACCGAATTCGCTGTTGAGTTGTAACTGAGCTCGTAGCCAGTGCGCTAGGTGTGAAAGGCTGGTCTGGTTTTAATTAGAATTTGTCCATGCCTGCGTTGGCCGAGCATCAGGTGCTCCCATACCCTGACAACCCTTAACACCCGGGCACGTTGATTACTGGAATGCCAGCCCGTTGCAGGATGCTTGCTCGTGTTTTAGGATCATAGAATCACTTAGGTTGCAAAAGACCTTTAAGATCGAGTCCAACCATTAACCTAACGCTACCAAGTCCACCACTAGGCCAGTTAAGGGGAGAGTAATATAATTTCATGTTTCCTGGCTTGGGGGCTGGATTATTTTTTAATGAAAGTAAAACTGGGAATCACTAAGGTTGGAAAGGCTCTCTAAGATCATCAGTCCAACCGTCAACCCAACACCTCCATGCCCACTAAACCATGTCCCAAAGTGCCACCTCTGCCCGTTTTTTGAACCTCTCCAGGGGTGGGGACTGCACCCCCTCTCTGGGCAGCCTGTTCCAATGCTTGACCGAGGATAGTTTCCTTTAAGAGAGTTTGGAAACATTATGCCTGTTAAGTTTTTGACCGTTAGGTTGTTTTCCAGGCTAACAGATTTGTATCTGAGCCTGATAAGTCAGTCTGATAATTTTAAGCTGTGGGTGTATGTTTCATGCATCTAAGGAGTAACTTCCACTTGAACTGCTTCTCGTTACTGTAGCTGGAGTCGAGATGGGCACAAACTGGTGAGCGCTTCGACCGATAACATTGTGTCGCAGTGGGATGTGCTCTCTGGAGACTGTGACCAGAGGTTTCGATTTCCTTCGCCTATCTTGAAAGTTCAGTACCACCCTCGAGACCAGTAAGTCCTGTGAAGAAAGGGTGGAATGCTCTCATTTTGGTAGAACTGCTCTCGCGTTGGCAGAAGTAATGGTTATTAACATGCTTTTATTCCAGTTTGCAAAGTGAATTTTTCTAAACCTAACAGATGCTGTCCATGTATTTTCTTTTTGTGATTAGAACCCTAACTGGATTTGTTGTGGCTCTTTTTATTATGAAAATATCAGGAAGGGGGGAGAGTCAACAAGAGAATAATTCTTAGAAATGTGTATAGAAATGCCTTGTTGAGTTTACAAGTTACTGCATAAACTTGGAGAAGCTTCCAGAAAAAGAAAGGAAATGAAAGCAGACACCAGCTTAATGTCATGGTGCAATTGAAGTAACAAAGATGAAATAAGATAATAAAAATATGGAGGTGTTCTGTATTTCTTGCTTTAAGTTGAGATTTTTTTTTTTTTTTTACTTCTAAATGTGGAAACTTCTTTTCCAGAGAAGAAACTACTGACTCCTCTTTCTGCTTTGCAGAAACAGAGTTTTGGTTTGTCCCATGAAGTCGGCGCCGGTGATGCTAACGCTATCAGACTCCAAACACGTTGTCCTACCTGTGGATGATGATTCTGATCTCAATGTCGTGGCCTCCTTTGACAGGCGAGGAGAATACATTTATACGGGCAATGCCAAGGGGAAGGTGAGGCTTTAGCAGGCGGCATTGGATATGCAGTAGCTTAGGTTGATTCCTGTCTTTATCAAGATGCTTAACGTTTTGGGGTTGCGTTCTTTGTTTTAATACGCAGATAAGGCTTCCTGAATATCTCTTGAATAATTGGTGTTGCGCTGATATGATCTGCTGAATGAAGCATCACACTTTAAGATTTCTGGACTATAATACTTTGGCTGAGTTACGTCTTTGTGTTGCTGTTGTCTTTGACCGTATTTGTTGGATCCTTTTCCAGTGTAAATAAACCAATGTTTATGTCGCAGAACTGTCGCAGAAACTGTAGTAGAAACTGCAGTTGCAGAATCCCAACTATTCCTGTGTAGATTGCTGAGGCTTCTGTTGTCAGGGTTAGTAGCTGATGTGAAAGGTACCAAAAGGGGAATGAGTTATAATAAGCCGCTGATTGCCTTCTGTCTCCTTGATCTTCAGATCTTGGTCTTAAAAACAGACACTCAGGATCTTGTTGCTTCCTTCAGAGTGACAACTGGAACCAGCAACACCACAGCTATTAAATCGATTGAATTTGCTCGGAAAGGAAGGTGAGTTACTTCCTCTGTCGGGTGGTATCTTTCAAGATGAATTGAAAACTACAGGGTGGATTGACAGAGCAGACAAGGTCTTAATCCCCCCCCCCCAGTTCTTTCATGGAACATATTCTAATTATTTCTATTTTCTTAGTCTTCTAATGCAATACATGTTCGGTGCCCTCCTTCCTACAGCTGCTTTTTAATAAACACAGCTGACCGGATAATCAGGGTGTACGATGGCCGTGAAATTCTAACTTGTGGACGAGATGGGGAGCCTGAACCAATGCAGAAGCTGCAGGATTTAGTGAACAGGTAAGAGGCAGCAGAGTGGCTGGTCAGCCTGACTTGAAAAGGTGAGGTTTTTGTGCTCTGCACTAGTGGGAGTCTCAGGATGAAGGGTAGCTTGGTGTCTTATTCAGTGTAGTGGACAGATGCTTTTGTATGAAACCTGTCTGCCACAGCTTGAAGTTTAAATACTATTTGTGGGTGGGAGTATGCAAGATCTCAGTCTGAAGAACAAGCCCACTCCGCAGTCCTCCATCCCCCATGTTGTGCTGTCGTTTAATTGTTTAACTTGCAAGGTTGTTTTTGCACGCAGGACACCGTGGAAGAAGTGCTGTTTCTCTGGTGATGGCGAATATATAGTGGCAGGTTCAGCACGACAGCATGCCCTGTACATTTGGGAGAAGAGTATTGGAAACCTGGTGAAAATCCTCCACGGGACCAGAGGAGAGCTGCTCTTGGATGTAGCAGTAAGAAAACTGTCTGTTAATACAAAGTTTCTTGTTATTTTGAAAACTAAGCTTTCTTAATTCCATTTACCAATTAAGTTCCTCCTCTTTTCTCTTTCACCTAGTGGCATCCTGTCCGACCAATCATAGCTTCTATTTCAAGTGGTGTTGTGTCAATATGGGCTCAGAATCAAGTGGTAAGCATTTTAGTGTTTCCTTAAGAGGATTCCCCAGTAGTCTCCATACTAGTAGACTGAATTGCTGCATGTTGAAATCCTTTATTAAACCCTAATTCAACAAGCCTGTTGGGTTCACCTGTCTAACTTGAAATACGTTTGCCGTCTTGCTGAACGTGAGGAGGGTGCTCGCACTTCAGTTGCTGAACTAGTTAAGCTTTGCATTAAAGTCCTTGAGTATCGTCACAGGGACACTTTATGTGGAAATGGTGTCCTGAACGTGTCGTGTAAGTGCAGGAAATCTGTGTGAGCGAGCCAAAATTTACGTGGCTAAACATGAAACACACAGCTTTGGTTTTAGGGGTAATTATGACATACATTGCAATATTTAAGGACTACTACGAAGTCATATTTTCAGTAGGAACTAACCTGTGCAGTTTCTAATTTGCCACGTGACTGTGGACCCGAATGAGGCTTGATTTTTGTGATCTTGCATGTGGCTTGGGGACTTTAATGCAGAATGAGACTGTAATTGCATGAGTCCTCACTATCACTGCTGTTCCTTTGCATAAGGTAAAAATTGTTTTGAATATGTGGTTTAGGAAAACTGGAGTGCCTTTGCGCCTGACTTCAAAGAGCTGGATGAAAATGTAGAATACGAAGAGAGAGAGTCAGAGTTTGATATTGAAGATGAAGATAAGAGCGAACCAGAACAGACAGGTACTGCCTAAGCTGTCTTTCTGTGTAGCAAATAATTTGTAGCCTGAATACATGAGCATAGTAAAAATTAAAACTAGTGGTCACGGTAGCGTACATGGGTGGTGACAAAACAGGAGTGGAATAAATGAAGACGTATGAACTAGCGCAATCAGTGTGATTCCTGCCAATTGACATGCAACATTCTTTTAGAAATGTATGTTTACGCAAAAAGCAATAGCAAATAGACGTGTAGCGTTGTACAGGCTTGCTCTCAGCAGCAGCAGGGCTGAATTTGAATCAACAGCCTCAACCTGGCCGCTTGGTGGTGCCAAAAAATTGTGTACGGTGAAGGGCTCTAGTTAACCTGTGGGAAGAAATAAGGATTATTCCCAGCATAGCACAGAGCTCTCCCTACCAGGCTTTGCAGCACTTCCCATACTTAGATTAATGGTTGTTTAGCAGTTTTTAATATTCAAGTGTAAGATTGACTTATGCGAATTAAGCGCTGAAACAAGTTTCATCTGGTTAAGGACTATTTTAGTGAAAAGAACAAAACATTTAGAAGACTTAAAATCTTCTATGTAGCTTTACTATCAGTGTTTCATAACAATAGGTGTGTATTAGAACGCAGAAACAAAATAAAAACCTGATGGATTTAAGAGGAAATTCTTTAGGTTGGTTTTCTGCTTTAATTCTCACTTTAGCATGCTGAGACATTTAAGCACATTTTTTTGAAGTCATTTGATCTTTTCCTTGCTGTCTTTAATTCTTCTTTTTTGCCTGACTCTCAGGTGCTGATGCTGCAGAAGATGAAGAAGTGGATGTAACTAGTGTGGATCCTATTGCTGCCTTCTGTAGCAGGTGAAAGAGTGGTTGTTTTGGTTGAAGTATGAATACAAAAATGTATCACTAAGACTCTCTGTGTAATATGTTTTAATAACCCCTAATTTTAAATGAAAGCAAATTTTTTTCCTTCACAGCGATGAAGAGCTGGAAGACTCCAAGGCTCTGCTTTACTTACCCATTGCTCCTGAAGTTGAAGATCCAGAAGAAAACCCCTACGGACCTCCTCCAGATGCGGTTCAGAGTTCTTTAACTGATGAGGGAATAGGTTCTGAGAAGAAGAGGCAGTCCTCCTCTGATGGACCTCAGGCACCAAAGAAGAAGCCCAAAACCACCAACATTGAACTACAAGGAGTACCTAATGATGGTGCGTAGAAGCTGCCATTGTGTTATTGCCTGTTCTGCATCTGAGGTGGTCTGACGACCAGAAGTTCAGAAGGTCACTCCTTAATTTTCTCCTCCCTGTAAAGTCACTTCTTACAGCAGTTATTAATGGTCACCAGCTCTGCAAATTTTGCTGGCATTTTGCAAGCTGGGAATGAGTAAAGGCATCCTGAAATTGTGATCTGTCATGATGGCATGTGCTGATAGAAGCATGCCAGGAGATTAACTCCCTTTGGTAACACGCTGTCTCTCCGCAGAAGTCCATCCGCTGCTGGGTGTGAAGGGAGATGGTAAATCCAAGAAGAAGCAAGCAGGCAGGCCTAAAGGATCAAAAGGTAAAGACAAAGATTCTCCATTTAAACCGAAACTCTACAAAGGGGACAGAGGTGCTTTACCTCTGGAAGGAGCAGCGAAGGGTAAAGTGCAGGCGGAGCTGGGACAGCCTTTGACAGGTAAGGAGAACCCAGCGTGAGCGTCGTTGGCTTGCTTGGTGGCCTTGCTTTGTACAGACCCTGACTTAATATAGTCATAGCATTTTATCTTCCCAGATGGCACTTGCTCACTAAACGTTTACCTGCTGTCAAGGATAGGCAAAATTTTACATTTTAAGTGGAAGTGCTTTCAGTATTTTTAATAAAATCGGTATCTCTGCCTGTGTTGTTGCATATAAAGAGCATGTAGGGTTTTTAATAGAGACTGAGCCCTATTTCAAAAGCAAAAAAAAATCTTTCTGTGACTTTAATCCTCTCGATAACTTCTATCAACTCTTACATAAACAGTAATAATGTTTGGTTTTACTGGGTCGATTCTGAGGGGGGAAAAATGTAAATAGTGAAGGATTCTGAAGCTTAAATTGACATTTTGTGCCATCAATACTAGGCAGAGTGATGAAGAACAGAAAAGTTCTGTAAGCAGAACTAGGACATGGAGCATTAATTTGATAATTTGATATCAAATTAATAATCAAAAACATTTGATAAACAAACCCCGAGAATTCAGGAGCTGAATTTTCTATTCCTAGCTGTACAGCAGCCTTAAATTCCAGAAAGTACAGTTGCTGTAAATGAGGATAGATTTTTGGTGGACTCTTTTTTTTTTTTTTTTTTTTTTTTTTTTTTTTTTTTTTTTTTTTTTTTTTTTTTTTTTTTTTTTTTTTTTTTTTTTTTTTTTTTTTTTTTTTTTTTTTTTTTTTTTTTTTTTTTTTTTTTTTTTTTTTTTTTTTTTTTTTTTTTTTTTTTTTTTTTTTTTTTTTTTTTTTTTTTTTTTTTTTTGGTAGGTAGGTTGGTTGGTTGTGTACTAAACCAGGACTGTTGCAGTCACCTTTGTTGGGGCTCAGACTTAGTCTCAGAGAGGCTAAGTGTTTCCCATGTGTCTCATTTGCTACTTCCGCTTCTGATTTGGGAAAAGTTCATTCAAGTGTAGTAAAGAAAGCACATGTTTGGATTAAGTGATGTGGACTCGCATTTTTTTTAGATTGTAATGAAGGACTCAGGGTTGATATATAAACAGTTTCAAAACCACAGTGTAATTGATATACCAAATTTTGCATTTCCTTGAACTCAGCAGCTGCTGCTGTGGATTTTAGACTGTACAGAAGTGATTTTATTTTTCCCCCCCTTCCTTCCCTCACTGCTGGTCCTATGCTGCCCACCTTGCTCATTGTCCTTCCTGCTCAGCTCCTGTTATGTTGCTTGTACTACTACTGATAATTGCTATTTGCAGAAAAAGGGAATGTGATAAAAGAAACTTAGTCTATACATGGAAAAATGTGGTGGATGCTTTCTGGGCTTCCATTTAATCCTTTCACACTGCACACTGCAAAATCCAGAAGTTAAACAGATAACCGAGAATATCCTCAGCCCTTGTTTGTACCTGGGAGGTACTGAGTAGCTTCTAGTGTCAGATTTACTGGACAGGGTGATTCTCTTTTGACTTCTCAAGTCATTAGGGGGCATCCAATGTGTTTTAAAGTATGATGGTAAGGAATTGTCTGGATTGTGTGGATCCTCAGCTGTTTTTGCTGGCATCTGTTACACATCCTGATCGCTCTGTTGGGCCGTGCTGGATGGACAAGACTGGTTTGAAGACCAAATGAGTAAAACCATTAGTTTCATCAGCAGGCCTGTTGATTGCTTTCTTTTATCACACCACTAATTAACATGACCACATGCAAAAGTATGTAAATGAGAAAGGATCGTGCACTGGAATGATCTACATTTGTAGACGGATCTCAGCGTACTTTCTTCTTGCAGCTTGAGATCGCTATTGCATCGGTCTGTTTTGAGAGCTGGAAAAACAATACTCCCATTTCCTCTAACACATTTCAAATGAAGCAACATTCTAGACAGACTCCTTCCTTGTTTTGTTTTTTCACACGTCCTTGCAAAGCCATATTTGGGAGGATTTTTGTGTGGTTTCGTTTGTAATGCTCCCATGTAGTTGTTGTAGTCTGACTTACTATAAAAGACAACAGTGGAATTTTACTGGCTACTGCTGCTGAGCTTGGGATGTCTATACCCATGCCAGAAGAGTTAGCTTTGGTTTTTGGGCACTGTAAAATGGAAATTTTCTTTTCTTACGAACAAATGGGTTTAGACTCGCATTCCCTACTTACTTTACGCACCTATTGGAGATGGTAGAGCTTTCTAAAATTTACTTCTAGTCTTTGTCGCCTGTAAGCACTTTAAGATACTTTTCCATGGTGATGTTCTTTAGCTGGATTGAGCTATAGGCAAATAATTTATATTGCTATAATGGACTTCTGTCTCTCATTAGGACCTGTTATTATGCTCCCTTCTACAGTACTGTTGACTTAAGAGGATCTAATAGATCTGTGCAGCAGATCTCAGCAGTCAGTGTTGGAAGTGTCTGTACGAGTCATGTTAAGAGAAGAACAGATTGTCCACTGAAAGAAACTGTCACTTGGATCTTTCCAAACTCACAGTAGTCTTCTAGTCCATGAAGTTCTTGTCTGTCTTCCTTTATTCTCTTTATGGCTTGCACTTACAATTCCTAGTTTGGGCAGCCAGGTTTTTTTCTTGTGGTTGTTGGTGTTCCACCACGTGCAAATACACACTTCTAAATTCAAATGGCCACCTGCCTGGGATCCTGGAACCGGACTGCCTTTTCTGTCTCTCGTGCATGAAACTGTTAATTCTGCTAGTTCCTTGTGCTGTTGCTTTCTGAAGTAACTAATCAGCTGCTAAAACAGTCACACAACAAGCATTTCTCGTCTGGAAACTGTTTGCTGACGTGCGATAATACAGTGTCTTTCTGCAAGCTGCATGGCCGGGACTTGGAGCCTGCTGCAAGTGCGTCTGTGTTGCTGTGCTGTGCAGGCTGGCAGTAAACATCTTATTCTTAAAGCTGCTATGTCAAAATCAGATTTCAATAGAAACAAACTGAGAAGCTTGATCCATTTTATAGTTTTAGAATAAAATCTTACGGCAATCTGGTTTAGCCCAAACTTCGTTGGAACTTGTTGTTTTCAGTTGTGTTTTGCTCTGAGATTTTTGGGATTGATGAATCAAAAAATTTTACACCAGGTAAGTTTGCTTGCAACTTTGTGGAGTAAAAGGTCAGAGTTCTGTAGCCACCTGGTCCATGCCTGTGCATGTGATCTCAAATACAAATGCAGAAATAATGGAGATCTTAATTTGTCATAGGAGGTATCTTGCTGATTATATCTTGTTCTGAAAAGAATGTCTTTATCTAGGAAATCTTGTTCTCTCTTTCTTTTTTTTTTTTTTTTTCTGGAAATGCTGCCATATTTGGTGGTCTCTCATTTCTGGTAACATCTGTTTGAGTCTGATTACTTATTTTTCACCTGTCTTTGATCTCTTTAGCAGGTGGTGCAATCTCAGAATTGTTAT